TAACCTTCACGTGAAGTAGCACACCTGTAGGGTGTACTCCTGAAAAAATTACTAAATTATGGTTTCTTCTGTTTATAAACAAAGTGTTGGGGGGAATCCTGGGTGATGTCATTGACCACATATGGCCATGACCATATATGGTCAATGACATCAGCCAGCATCCCCAGCTGGTTTGTGGGTGTTCAGCAGGCAACCAGGGAGCTGTCATTTTACGGTGGTAGTGTAAAGGGAGAAGATCGCCGTGCCGTGGGTCATCATGTCCATTTGTCATTGGGGTATCTCTCATCGTGATTTGCGCTGGATCTACTTCACTGGACAGCAAGATCGACATGGGATTTACATCAGGGAACATGTTTATTTATTTACTTTAATGGGGGGCTTTATCAGCTTTTTACCTGGCCATGGGCCGTACGCGACGGCATCGGAGAGGCCCGGGGGGCAATTGCCACCCTGCCCCCCGGCCCAGTCCGCCCCTGCCATGGTGGGTGGGGAATGACAGCTCTAAAACAGGAAGTGACTAAATCGCCATTGCTTCCAGCTTCATAGTGGTTGTGGGTACCATAGGCAGCCCATGAAAGTAATTGGGCAGCTTTACAGCTTCCCAAATCACTTCCAGTGTAAAGCCGACAGTTGGCTTTATACTTGCAAGCAGACAGGAGTTTACTTACAGGGTCCCGCTGCCGCTGACGTATGCCAGACAGTGGCTGCAGCAGCAAAAGGATAGAATATAACACGGGGAAATGTACTACATATCTCATTCTTTCTTTTTTTGCACTGACATACGCTGTAATTCTTGGTTTTCTCTTTGTGTTTCCACTTGCCAGCTCTGCAACATTTTCCCGTTCCTCCTCAGCCTGCCGTTGTTACCAAAGATTGTCTTTAAGGAAATCTCCTACCTGCAGAAATTTGTGCTAAAGTACATTGAGGAGCACAAACGCACCCTGAAGCCTGAGGCCCCCCGAGATTTCATCGATTATTTCCTGCTGAAGATAAAAGAGGTGCGTGCCGTACACTAAACAGCAAGTATCATTGATGATCATCAATAGTATGTAAACCTATGACTGCACTCAGCACCCCTACACTGGCCAGGCTGGGGCCTCTGCTACTCAATAATGGTTTACAAGGCCTTTCACAGATTCTAAAAAAAAAGTGACACGTAAATTTGGTGTACCCCAAAAGTGACACATCAACAATATGTGTGCAGCATACGATGGTTTTAGGATTACATTAGAATGCAATAGCCCATTTCTTTTCCTCTTCCTTTCTTCCTTCCCTCTCCTTCCCATTCTCCTCTCCTCTGTCTTCCCTTTCTCCTGTCCCCTCCCTTCTCCTCTGCGTTCCCTTTCTCATGTCCCCTCCCTTTTCTTCTGCCTTCCCGTTTTCCTGTTCCGGATGTTATAAACCTTCATGTCTTCTCAGGTGGAGCATGAAGAGGACCCGGATTTCTGTGATGACAGCCTGTTGGCGATGGTGGTGAATCTGTTAGCAGCAGGATCTGAAACCACCGCTTCCAGCCTAAAATTCTGCCTGGCCTTCTTGGCTCACTGTCCTGATGTCCAGGGTAAGACCAAACATAACCCTTGTGGAATGCAAAATGATCTTTTATGTTTGTCTGTCAGATATTGTAACCCTTCCACTCTTCACCCAACACTACATAACAAGCATGGCTTCCAATTCAAGTTGATTTTGTTTGACCTTGGAGGTGCTCCGAAAAGACATTTAACTGAATACTGAGAATCTCGCAGAGGCTTGTTAACATGGTGGCTTGATTTAAGTGGTGTTAAAACTTGAGAGATTAAACAAAAGGGGTCGTCACCCTGCCTTTAACTGGGATAATGTATTCTAGCAAGGTGGAAGGTTTTGCTCAGTGCACAAAATTCGCAAAGGGACCAAGGACTGATTTGAGCTGGTTGCCCTCCTGGAAGTTCATATTAGAGATCCTGTGGACTAAATTGCAACCCTGAACAATCATGGCAGCCTTGAGAGGAGTCTTCTGCTTATTGAGAAAGCAGTTATTGGGGTTGATGTGGAGGATGGAGGTGTATGTGGGGATAATCAGGTTGGAAGCTAGGTTAATGTAGCTAGAGGGAGTAGCAGGGGCTCACAGAAAAAGAAGGCCTGATATGTGTTTGAGCACCCAACAAATTTGCTAAGTTGAGTGAAGTTATGTGGGTGGCATCCCAAGATGTCTCTGCTACCACAGCCGGGAAAACAGCCCATCTAGTGGAGGTGGTGAAAGAATGAAGGTGTAGACAGTTGGTGGTAAACAAATTACTGAGAGGGGCTGAGCATGGCCCAGCTGTCTTTATCCATATTGGGACCATTGGCAAAATTCATGGAACATGGGGGATCCTGAAGAATTCATTCAGAGAACTAGGTTGAAAATTGAAGGGAAGGACCTCCAAGGTAATATACTCTGGAATATTGCATGTGCCATGCACAGGTCTGTAGGTTTAGAATATTCAGTCTGTAAATGGATAGAAATCTGACTTAAATATCATATTCAGAGCATAGTGATCAAAGATTCATGCTCCGAATAGTCTAAGGTTGTTTGGTGGTGTACCCCAAGGTTCAGTGTTGTTGGTGGTGTACCCCAAGGTCCAGTGTTGTTGTTGGTGTACCCCAAAGTTCATTGTTGTTGGTGGTGTACCCTGGGGTTCAGTGTTGTTGGTGGTGTACCCCAAAGTTCAGTGTTGTTGGTGGTGTAACCCAAGGTTCAGTGCTGGGACCCGTACTGTTTAGCCTGATACAGAATTTGGGATTAATAGTACCATTTCTGAGTTTGCAGATGACATCAAGCTATGTAGTGGAATACAGTCCTTACAAGATGTCTCCAACATAACGCACTGTCTAATTGGGCAACTATGTGGCAAATTAAGTTTCATGTTGATGTAAAGTTATGCACTTGGGGACAAAAAAGCATTGTCATACACTCTAGAGGGAGTACAACTAGGTGGATTCAATGATCGAGAAGGATCTGGGTTTTCCGGGAAAGATCATTGAGTTAATAATAGTATAGCAGTCTATGAGAAAGAGTGAGAAAGATACTTTTTTGTATAAAAGGGGTCTAGACTCCAGAAAGAGACATAATCCTGCCCGTGTACAAAGCATTAGTAAGACATCATCTGGAATATGCAGCTCAGTTTTAGGCACCAGTTCACAAAAAGGATGTTGTGGAACCCAGTGGCGTCACAAATGGGGTGCGGTCCACACCCGGGTGACACCATTGGAGGGGTGACACCAAAATGACTCACAGATGGCCGCCGGCAGGTATCAGGATACTGCCGTGCGTGCGCGATGACGTCACGCGGGGTGACACTTGGTTACCGCTCCGGGTGTCACCCAGCCTCGGGGCGCCCCTGGTGGAACCAGAGAAAGTGCAGAGAAGGGCAACTAAATTGATAAGAGGCATGGAGGAACTCAGCTATGAGGAAAGATTAGCTGACCTGAATTTGTTCTCTCTAGAGAAGAAGTGATGAAGGGGGGACATGATCACCATGTATAAATACATAAATGGTCCATAGAGTGAGCTTAGTGCCAAATTATTCACTTTAAGGTCACTGCAAAAGACCCGGAGGAAAAAAGGATTACATAGGGAAAGATTTCTTCATAGTCAATGTAGAATTGATGACCTCGGGAACTAGTTTTAGCTAGATTAGTTGGTTGTTTTGAAAAAAAATATTGGTTGTATTCCTGAATTTACAGAAAGTACCTGGAGATTACCATTTATTAGTAAAAACACCAGAGATTGTTTATCTAGAGAATATCTGATTGCCTTAGAGGCTCAAGAAGGAATTTTTTCCCTTGTTGGAAAAAATTGGACCTTGCTTTATAAGGCGTTTTTTTGGATCAACTGTGGGTAATGTCTCTTCTCAGCATCTCTTTAGCATAGCAAAATCCTGAGACGTCTCCAGCCAATGACTGCGCAGCACTGCAGGAGATGGCTGGATGTTTCATGGCTGCATGGGAATTGCTAAGTATTGGATAACCGAATTGGGTGAGTGGTACCCGTACTGTCTATGATTATTCAATCATCACTAAGCATTGCAACAATGTGCTCCTCTCTACTTTCCAGACTCCATCTAGTACTGGCTAGTATTGGCCAACGAACTCCATGCTAAAAGCACTCATTCTTAATGTACATCTTAAAAGTTCTATAAATTGCCACTGAGATAGACATTTTAGGAAATCTAGAAAGGATTGTCACCAGCACACCAAAAGTTTTGACGCAAATAGTCTTTTATTGACAAGCGCTTTCGGGGTCTCAGCAGTACCCCTTCATCAGGCTCAGAATTCTGAACCTGATGAAGGGGTACTGCTGAGACCCCGAAAGCGCTTGTATTGGATGGCGATTTGTCAATAAAGGACTTTTTGCTTCAAAACTTTTGGTGTGCTGGTGACAATCCTTTCTAGATCTGCATTGTTCACGGGGCCGTCCGTGGTCACTACAAGCACCCACCTGCTTGGCAGGTTTACTACTATTCCGGTAAGGAGTGCAGCTGGTTCTTGACTACAGACATTTTAGGAAATCACAGTTGGCTCCTTTAACGTTTCAGAGAAGATCCAACAGGAAATTGATGAGGTGACGCAGTCACTGCGCCCTCCAGGGATCGGCGATAGACAACAACTGCCATACACCAATGCCGCCATCCATGAAATACAGAGAGTCTTCGACCTGGCACCAACTGCTCTCTTCCACGCCGTGACCAAAGACATCCAATTCCGCGGATACACCCTCCCGAAGGTATATGATTAGGATATAGGCCGTGTTTGTGCCAGACTGTGTGGGAGATGGTGATGTAACACAGCTAAAAGATAAATCAATAAAATCTGTATGGACAAGGAAAGTTGTAGGGTCTGGGAGTATGGGCACATACTGTACTTCTGCCATCCAGAAAAGAAGCCACTTACTTATCTTGCACTGTACATGACCAACTACTATTTAGATGTCATGTAATCTGTTCATTGTAAGTTTTTCTTTTTTTATATTTACCTCAGTAGAATGTAATATGTTGCTATGCAGAAAAGCCAATTCAATATTTCAGGCACCTGTATGCTTCCTATTCGCTCCTCATTATTATACTCCCCCTCATTATACCAACACTCACTGTCACAGATAAATCAGTTAAATTTGTGTATTCACCTTGTCACAGACTCTGATATGATCTTATTGGCATTGAGCGTGTATGATGAGATTGTGCTCATGTACAACAGTGACTCTGTCTCTCTCTCTTTTGACCAGGGCACCATCATCATTCCATTCCTGACATCGGTGCTTAATGACCCCTCTCAATGGGAGACGCCGGAACAGTTCAACCCTGGGCACTTTCTGGATGAGGAGGGCCAGTTCCGCAATCGGGTGGCCTTCATGCCGTTCTCAGCAGGTGAGAAATTCACAATATTATATCCGGGCCAGGCTGGGGTGAACTGAACAATTCCTTCACCAGAATAATCATAAATATATTACACAAGTCTATCCAGGTCTAGCCTCTTAAAGAGTAACTAAAGATACCCTGTCACCTTGCCCATTCAGGTAAAAGAGACAGGGTCTCCTTAAAACCCATCACCCACCACCCACCACCATATACTTCCACCTTCTTTTACCCTCACAGCAGTCCCTTGCCATCCCTTTTTTCTGACATAGACCCTGCAGAATAACTGCTGTTGGAGCTCCCAAGGGGCACCGATGTCACCCTTCTGTTGTGTGCAATTGTTCATGCCTAGTGATTGGTTACAACACCCAAGAGCTGCATGGGTGCAGGTTACATGTTCCTCCATACCTGAAAGCACCGGGTATTTCGCAGAAACAGCGACAGAAGAGTGGTGGAAAGGACTTTAAACGTGAGTATAAAGCTGTTGGGTGGTGGGCTTTAAAGAGAACCTGTCACAAAGCCCTGAATAGGCAAAAACTTAATTAAAATAAATAAATAAATAAAACAAGCCATAAAATTCATGTGTTCCCAGCCAGGTCTGTTCTGTTTCTCATCTAGGAATCCATATAATGTGCCAGGCCACTTGCACCAAAAATGCTCTTGTTGCCTCTAATTATTTTCTACATATGCCCAGAGAAAAGATTAATTCTGCTTTTCAGGGAAAGGAAACAGTCCTTCAAGTCTATCTATTGTGTTGTGGTAAACATACCGCCATGATGGGAGAGGACAAAGAACCTATAGCTGTACTTTGTTCTTTCATGGAATAGAACTTTAATATATTCTGGAAGTGCCTTTAGGGCTACACTAGTCATGTGCACCTCCATGGTGTTGACCCATTGCCATGGCTGAGTTAGGTTGTTGGACCATTGGGTGCGGAAAGGCTTTTATTCTGGCAGAAGGGACGATGTGACAGAGAGGAAGGAAGGTTTTAAGTTTTCTCATCAAGTTTTGTCTCTGCCATTGTTCTTTATGTCCTTCAGCATCACTGTAAGTAATGCCCAACTGCCTCAACCTAACCTCATAGAACTTGACATCAACAGGAATATTCTTTTTAGGGTTTAGTGACACAGAAGTTAAAATCATCATCCTCACCTTTTCCAAATGTTTATAACTCCAGACCTTGTCTTCCATAATCTCCTTCTTTAAAGAATCTTGTTTGTCTCAAAATTATAGGCTGATGATAGCGCTGGCCAACCAAAATGTCCAAAATCAGCATTACATTATCTCAAACAAGCCATTATTGGGGGGGAAGTGGGATAATTCTCTTTTCTCTGCGTTGCTAGGTGAATCTGTTATTCATCCCAGAGTCATTGATTCATAGCAGCTTCCATAGAATTCATCCTCTAGTCTGTGATCCATGGTAGCCTCCATAGGATCCAATCCCTCAGTCTGTGATCCATAGTGGTCTCCATAGGATCTAATCCCTCAGTCTGCGATCCATAGTGGCCACTATAGAATCCAATCTCTCAGTCTGCGATCCATAGTGGCATGAATAGAATCCAATCCTCCAGTCTGTGATCCATAGCAACCTCCATATAATCCAATTCCCCAGTCTGTGATCCACAACGGTCTTCATAGAGTCCAGTTCCTCAGTCTGTGATCCATAGCAGCCTCCATAGAATCCAATCCCCCAGTCTGTGATCCATAGCAGTCTCAATAGAATCCAGTACTTCAGTCTTTGAGCCATAACAGCCTCCACAATATCCAATTCCCCAGTTTGTCATGCATGGTGGGCTCTATAAAGTTGGCTGCTGCTAGCTGAATGCTCGGTTTCCATAAATGTTTCCTTACTGAGAACTGGACAGGTAGAGGACACTGTGGTACAGGAAACCGGAGGACCAGCTCAAATGGAGACTTTATCCCAGATTGGTGGATCCATAGAATGATCCAAGAATTCAGTCCCTAGTACTTGTCCTCCATTGTTCATCAACCTTGTGCTCCTTACTGCTAACAAATATCAGAATGGCATTATTAGATATGTGTTATACACTGATTGGAGCTGAACAAATCTAATGGCCCAGCTGTCCTAATGAAGCCTTCTACTGGGATGTATACACCTAAACACCACACTTATTCTGGATCCACAAAATGCTTGACATTCTACAATGATAATTTTGCTAGTTATTTACAAATCATGATGAAATATTACACAATGGAGTAAAAACAGCGGTGTTGATTGATTTTACAGCTCTGCTTCATGCCCAAGTGTTCCTCTTCTCTTCTATAGGAAAGCGTGTATGTGCCGGAGAGAACTTAGCCAGAATGGAGCTCTTCCTTCTCCTCTCTTCTCTGCTCCAGAAATTCACCTTCCAGCTGCCCCTGGGAGCTGAGCGTCAGGACTCCAAATGGCTGCATGCAAATAAACATGACATTGTGTCTAACGCTCAGCTGTGTGCCGTGCCCAGAGCATTGCCCACCAAGTAACCTATTACAGGAACAGGAGAAAGAGACTGATGAGTATTGCCTTAAGAGTTCTCTTCACTGGAACTGAGGGGCAAAGCCCAACCCCTGAAAAACAACCCCCCCCCATAATCCCCCATCCACCAAACTTTACACTTGGCACAA